ATTGTGGGAGTTGAAGTCCAAAACACCTGGAGGAAGGCCAAAGTTTGCCCATGCCGAGACAGACGTAGAGACGTAGTTTGAAATGGGATCCGCATGGATGCTTCCAAGGATATGTTGAAATCCAAAACATCTGGAGGGCTTCCAAATCTGTGTCACTCAATAATGTAAGACTAGTCAAACACATGGTTGATGGTCATGACGCCTCCCGGTGGCTCAATGGGTTAAACTCTTGTGCTGGCAGGAATGCTGACCAAAAGTTCGCATCCAGGGAGCGGGGTGAGCTCCCATCTGTTAGCTCCAGCTTCTCACATGAGGACATGAGACAAGCCTCCTACAAGGATGGTAACACATCAAAACATCAAGGCATCTCCTGGGCCAACAAGCAGTAAACAGAGTTGTCAAAAATATAGCCAGTTTAAGGTTAAGAAAACACAAATGCCAGGAGAGGATTATCAATCACATAGATAAGATAGCTGTGAAGAACAAAAATGGGGGAGGGCTGCTGGTAGATTCTATGGTCAAATACCTCCAAAACACCAGGTGCCTAATTAATCAGCTATTTCACAGCTGCCAGGATCATCACAATCTCTACCTCATTTTTGTTAAAAAAAAAGGATGGTGGCATATCTTCAACATCCTCCATTTCGTGCAAAGCTCCCTGCTTTCTTGGACAGATCCCTATCATCAGGAGATGCACATGCCTGGACATCTGGCTCCTCCGTTCTCAATCATCTGGCTCCAGAAGGTGAGTTATGACAGTTTCCAACCTGCAATGACTCTAAAATAGGCTTTTCTTGGCAAAGTTGGTTCACAGGAGATTTACCTTTGCCCTCAATCACAGTCGGTTCCTACAGCTAAGTGAGGATTCGAACCCTGGTTTTCAGAGTCATTCCACATAAACTTGTCTGATTTTCTGGGTTGCTGTGAGTTTTTCCAGGCTGTATGGCCATGTTCCAGGAGCATTGTCTTCTGACATTTCACCCTCATCTACGGCAGGCATTCTCAGAGGTTTGTTGGAAACTAGGCAAGTGGGTTTTCTGTATCTGTGGATTGTCCAGTGCTGGAGAAAGAACTCTTGTCTGTTTGAGGCAAGTGCAAATGTTGTAATTGATCACCTTGATTTGCATTGAATAGCATTGCAGCTTCAAAGCTTGGTTGCTTCCTGCTTGGGGAATCCTTTGTTGGGAGGTGATTAGCTGACCCTGATTGTTTCTTGTCTGGAATCCCCCTTTTTTTGAGTGTTGTTCTTTATTTACTGTCCTGATTTTAAAGTTTTTTAAATACTGGTAGCCAAATTTTGTTTACTTTCCAATGTATAGGGTGGTAGGAATTGGAAAGTGGGGGCTTTGTGGGTATGTTCAGCTAAAATTGGTCACAGAGCCCTCTTCGGCCCCTCGTGCCTAATGCTCAAAGGTCTGTCTTCCATGCAGATGTTTGGGGACATTAAGAGCAAGCCTAATGTAAACACTCACATCCTGCCTCCTGTTTTAGTGCTGCACGTTTCTCAGGCAAATGCCAAAACAAGTGATTCAAGATCTAATCTTGACCCAGCATCTATATTTGTAATTGATACCATTCAATTTTAACATCCCACAAGCGCTGCCATAATAATAATAATAACAACAACAAATAAATAAATAAAAATAACCTACTTTTTTGCTACTTTTCTATCTTATATTATTCCCCCACTTTCGCTGTAACTATATAAAATTCAATAAAAATTTATAATAAATAAATAAATAAATAAATAAATAAATAAAAACAACCTAGGCTACCAAACAGCAAGAAATTCACCAAAAATCTCTCACTTGTTGTACATGGATGATCTAAAGCTTTATGGAAAATCAGAAACTGAAATCGAGTCACTGACCAACAGTCAGAATCTTCAGCACTGACATCAGTATGGAATTTGGCCTAGACGAATGTGCCACAGTGGCATTAAAGAAAGGGAAAATTACACAAAGCGAGGGCATAGAGATGCCAAACGGACAAACCATAAAGTACAATAAGCCTGAAGCCTATAAATATCTGGGCATACTACAACTGGACAATATCAAGCATGGTCAAGTGAAAAATGTGGTCAGCAAAGAATATATCCAAAGAGTCAGAAAGGTTTTGAAGAGCAAATTAAATGGCAGAAATACGATCAAGGCTCTCAACACCTGGGCCATCCCCGTCATTAGATACACTGGTGGGATTGTGAACTGGACAGAAGCAGAGCTGAATGATCTGGACAGAAAAACAAGAAAACTGATGACAATCCACTACGCATTACACCCGCATAGTGACATTGACAGACTTTACTTGTCCAGAAAATCAGGAGGCAGAGGGCTTCTGCAAGTGAAACAAA